ATCAATCCCACTCTCACCCGTGTATTACTTACCACTTTTTCTAGTGGAACCCTTTTTATATGAAATCTGAGTTCTTGCAACAATGATCATAGAACAATTCTGGCGGACCTTTGAGTGTTTTAATTTTGTTCATTTCTTCTGTTTTAACTAGCCGACATAGTACCGAAAGCGATCTAACATGGATTCAGTGCAGCTCAATGGGATCAGCGTTCAAAATCAAACGCAGGAATGATGTTGATCTGCCTGTCGGAAATATTGTTACATATTCATTATAAAAATTAGTGTGATAAAAATAAATTATTATTAATTAAAGAAATAACTAAAATACAAAAAAAAAAATAGACAATAAGACATCGAACCTATGACCCACTAATTGGCGTTAAATGGTTCAACGGCCGAGTAGTTTATCGGGCGTTTGATAGGGTTGACCACTCTGAGTTCATGCCTGACACGACTTGCCAAAGTGCAGACGACACACAAAAGTGGGCCATGCTGGCCCGGCCTAGCCCACATTACACCTTTAGACTCTTTTCCAATCTTCTCTCTGTGAACTTAATGTATAACTGTCATCTTTTTAATTCCAATTATCCTTTCATTTAAATTTGAATAATATAACTACAATTATTAATTCTATATAGTATTTTAGACATGTGCATCTGTTATAACCTCTTTCAAAATAAAGGTTTTTCGACATTTCTATATCTATACTATTTTAAAAAGTATGAATTGCCTCAAGAATATTTTTGAAATTTTTTGATGACAAAATTTATTTCTCTATATTTAAATTAATTAATAAAAAGTGAGGGCAAATAGGGTAGTTGGTTATTGATATTAAATGAGTTGAAAAGAATGAAAAGAAGTAATTTTAATATATTCAATGCATTCAATTCTCTCATTAAATCCAACATTTAAGGTATTAAAGGATAAAATAGACATTTTAATATTTCATGTCAATGTTGAATGGTGATATCAATTGTCAAAAAAACTTAAGGGTACTTGAAAGGAATATGTAAATAGTAGAGTTACAGTTAGTCAATTTCCTAAACCTTAGGGATAGTTTAAGAGAATTCCTCTTTTATAAACAAAAGTTGCAACAACTAAAAAAGTTAATGGGTTGGACAAGCTGGAGAGGGTTCAACCCATTTGATTTTATTTAAATGGGTCGTTAACATGTTGGGAGTTTGATGGATTGATTGAAATTCAACTAACCCACCAAATCGCCACCCCTAGGTTTGAGAGGAAACAAGAGAGAGAAACAGAAAGTTAAGGATAGTTCTTGAGGAACTTCAAAAATTTTGTTAGGCTCAGTTTGGGAAGAGTGCAAATAGTGCAAAAACTTGTATGCAGTATTTCTAGACTAATTATCAAAATATCAGTGTCAGGTATCATATTGGATAACTTATATATAGATATAAATATGAATACGCTTTGGAAACACATGAATACATACGAAAGATATCAAAACACTTGGATAAATTAGGGAAATGCATACAAATCACATAAATATATTAATAATACTAAATCTAAAACTGAATTATCTATGAATAAGTTTTAAATGCATGAGAAATGTACACTTTAATATAATAGGTATATGAAGAGAAGCATTGCAACAAATTTATTTAGTATTTTTTATATAAATAATAACTCTATATTTATCAAAAAATAAATATGTTTTCATTTTTAACACAGAATTGTTTTATTTTACAATATTGTATAACAAAATATATAAATCATATTAAGGTTGATAAATAAATTATTTTTATAACTTTTAGTTATTAATAAATTTTGGGATAATATATCTTTAATTATTTATTTCAGTTTTTATAATTACAATTCTATTATAGTTTTTACAATTATAATTTTCAATTTTGATTAAAGTTTAAAAACAATCCAAAAGTAGTTATATATAATTTTGTCAAATTAGGCATCAATATGCTTTCCTATTATTATGTATTAGATCATATCGACCGACACGACATGATATGACTTGATAGAAAAAGGTGTATCTTGCCAATAGCACAACTCATGGAATATACGTACTAAGGCTGTCAAAGGGTCGGGTCAGGTTTTGGTCGGAACCAGTTGGAAACCGGAACCGACCCAATATGAAATGTTGAGGATACGGATTCGGAATCGGACCTGATAGGGTTGTAATTTTTGGACCCAAAACTAAACTGATCGATTCTTGAGACAATCGAGTTTGACTTGATAGACACGATTATAATAAATAAAAATAAATATTTATGTTTAATATATATTATATATTATATCTATAGTATATATATAATATATCGGGTTGAGTCTAAATCAGTTCGGGACTAGGTGGAACCAATTTCGAACCAAAACCGACCTGTCAATTTCAATTCCTAAAACCAGAACTAGCCCAATCGGTTTGGGTCCATCGGGTACACCAAGTCGAACCCGATCCATTGACAGCCCTAATACATACCCAGTCATGTTGTATCCTGTATTCATGGTCATGTATCAAGAGTATTGTATCGATACTTTAAACATTTGTTCTAGATTCACTATACATATTTGTATTTGCACTCTTCCAAATAAAGATGACTACAAATACATACATACATACATACATACATACATACATACATACATGCATACATACATACATATATACATGCATATATATATATATATATATAACCTATTCAATTTTTTTGTTTTTCTTATTTTCTATCAAACAAATAGGGCATCTGTTTAAACTGAAAAACTGAAATGAACCAAAAAATTGACCAAAACTAAAAAAATCCAACTAGCCGAACCAAGTGGTATACATATATTTCTCTATACTTTTCTCTATATTTATGTATATATTATATATTTCTATTTTATTATATATTTATATGCTCTTTTATAATATATATTATAAATATAAAAAACCAAAAAACCAACAAACCAAACCGATAATTAACTGAACTGATTAACTGGTTAACCAATCTACTTTATTTGGTTTCGGTTATCAGTTTTCCAGAAATTAGTAAAACCGGTTCAGTTTCAAAAATAGGTTCACGGTTCGGTAGCACCACTACCTTCCTGTATCTCCCTTACCCTGCTCTTGATGGATGCACTCCATAATTAGTCTGTGAGCGTCATAAACCTTCCGTAGTCATCTTCTATGTTGTTTCTTAGTTAGGAACGTCTACAAGATGTTTAAATCCTAATTCTTGCTATTGCGTTAAATCATTGCTGAAAATAATTTCACTGGTCTTCTTGATTCTATTATAAATTTCCTTTCTTCCACCATTTCCAGCACTATCATTTCTGACCTATATAGTGCTTATAAGCCCCCAAACATAAATAAATAGCTAGGTTCTGTGTGATAAATGAAAACAATGTAAAGAGAAATGCTAAGAAAATACTTAGGCCCTGTTTGTTTTTTGGTAAATTATTTATCTGGATAAATGCATTTATTTGGGTTGGTGTTTCTTATGAAAGACTTATTTAGGTAAGTGCATTTATCCATGGTCTTTTATTTCCCATGTAAATAAGGAAATGACCATTTAGTCATAAAAATCAATTATTAAAAGGGGTATTTTTGTCCCATTCAAGTGTTGGCAACTTCCCCCCCCGTGGGAAAGTTATTTACCCACCTAGGAGATAGGTATCACTTACCCAGGTAAGTGATATTTAGGAAAATAAACTTTCCCTATTCCCACATAAATCTGAAAAAGCAACATGGGATTCTGGTTCCCATTGACTAACTTTCCCCCCTCTCAAAATCCAAAAAAAAAAAGAATGCCCCCTTAGTGTCTATTCAGTTTTTGGATTTTGAGAAGGGGGAAAGTTCGCCAATGGGATTTTGGTTCCTATTGACCAAGAAACTCATTTTCTTTTTTCAAACTTATGTGGAAATTGAGAAAATTTACTTTCATGGGTATCAATTACTCAAGTAAATGGTATATATCTCCTAGGTGGGTAAACTTACTTTTCCACCACCTAGGGGAAAGTTGCCAATACTGATTTTTATAGTCAAAATGGTCATTGTCTTATTTAACTGGACAATAAAAGAATATAGATAAATACACTTACCCGATAATTGTTTCCTAAGAAATACTTACCCGAATAAATAATTTACCAAAAACAGTCGATCCTTTGTAAAGACTTTGAATCCCCTTAATGTTCAGGCCAAGCCTCCAATATATGATCACAACAAAAAATGGCATTCATCTCTTAGGTTTTAGATCTCTATAGAATTGATAGATAAGCATATGACCACCAGCAAATCAAATATTTAATTTTCAGTTTCTTCTTTTTTTGTAAATAAATACAATGCTTTAATTTAGAAAGCCCAACGGCATTAAATTTGAAACTGTTTAGCACGTAAGCTTAACCTGAGTTTTGGTTCATAGGGTTTCCGCATCATATTAAGGATTGGCCGGCCATAAGAATGGAATCCATGTATCCTAACTTACTTGCATTTGATTTGCTAAATAGTTAGGTTCTAATACATCTCATCCTCTTACATATTATTATCCTAACTTACTTGCATTTAATGCATATCTTAGGAATTTAGAAAAATTAAACAGCTGACCAAGAACTCCAAGGGGTAATTAGAAAATTAATGGAATCCTGGGAATTCTAAGGGGTATTTTTTGCAAGATAAAAGTTCAGGAGTATTTTGTGGCAAATTAAAGTTCATTTACCCATAAGGGTTATTGACTGTTCAGCAGAGAACCAATGATAATTCTCCACATCATTAATAAAATACATGAGACCCGCACCCCTTACGGTGGGGCCAATGAATTTATTAATGGGTTTTATGGGTAAAAATGGAATATTATGATGGGTTCCACAGCCAGCTGAGCAGATATCGCGTTCAGCTAATACGAGTCAAACATCCTAAAGTTTGTAAAGGTGTCTTTCTATATATATCAGTAAAAGATGACAGACTAGGACTATCAGTAAAAAGCAGTCAAAAGACCACAAGGAAACCGGAACCATGAGAAGAGAAACAAAGAAACATGCTGCAATTTGCTACACTAGTGCTTTGAGCAATCAGCAGGCATGAAGGTAACCTTCTTGTCCACACTGTCATAACCGACCAAGAAGTTCATCTGGGACAAGTTACCAAAGATAGCAAGATCATTTGATGGTATCATGACGAAGCAGACCAGATCCTCTTCCAGCTTGACAAATGTGTTTATTGGCTTCAACACAACATCTGCTCCGGTGAAATGCACGGTGATAGGAGGAACGTCGAAATCCTGAGCAGTTCTGTAACACAGAGTTAGTAACCTGTGTGGGTCTGGAACTGGTTCAAGATCAATCGCGCTCTTCACGGCGGATTCCACTTCTTCATAGAAATCAGGTGGGATCATCGTCAACGTCGTGCCGGAGTCTATGATTATGTTACCCTCCTCAACATCATTGCTGCTCTTCAATGCTTTCTTGTAAGCCAACTTCTTTTCTCCGACACTGACTCCTTCGAGCGTCAGATAGTAGAATGTATCGGGGGATTTCGAAACCAGTGGAGTCGAAACCGCTCCTTCACCGGAAACAACAGCTGCGCTGCCAAAGTTCAATTTACTAGTGGCATTATAAGATAATGGAGCCAAGCAGTAGGAGAATTTTCCACCAATGGAGGAACCCAGTTGAGAAACTAAAGAGAGTGAACCCCCACCGAGGCCAACAAGACCAGAAGTTAATTTGTCGAAGGTACCACCGTTGTTGTGGCCACACCCAAATACAACCTTTGGGAGGGCGACCGGCTTGCCGGAAGTAGAATCCATGGTGACTGTTTCGGATGCAAGTAATCCATTAGTAAAGGATTGATCCCCATATTTATACATATACTCACAAGCACCACTAGAACTACAGGTTGCAGAGTTTAAATCGTCGCAGGGCTTAGAATTGCATGACAGGTCCCTGTACGTAGAGGAATTTTTAGGATCGAAGAGAGGGGATGTTTGATGGAAACAGTAATCGCAAGGTTTGCACTGTGTCCATATAAGATCACTGCCGGTATCAGCAATAGCGAGCATCTCTACCGGTGGAGTACCGATAGAGATTTTCATAAGGTACGTCCCACTGTCGGGGTAGATAGTTGATTGGACGCCGTCCGGAGAGAGCTTTGATGTGTTGAAATGATTGGCGCGAGATATCGACCGGCGGAAGGCATTCCGCAACAGCTCTGAACGAGATGCAGAGGGGATATATAATGGGGAGAGTGGTGAGTCACGGTGGATGAGATCGACTCTGAAACCGCCATTGCCGGCTTCTATGAGAGAAAAGCATGAGAGACAAATCGAGACGGCTATGACCACGAAGAACAGACGTGAAGAAGACATAGTGGCCATGGCGCTTTGGTATAGACTACAGAGTGAGAGTTGCCTGGGAAGAAAGTTTCTGATTAGGGAATACTTATAGAGGAAGAGGAAGAGAGATAGATGGAAAGGTGGAGAGATTTTGGTAACGTGGCGTTAATGGTGTTGTCTTTTAATGGCGGATAAAGACGAGATTTGGAGGATCCTTCTAATGACTGTAGAACTTCCAAAATTGATGGTGTGTTCTTTAATTGTATGGATTTCGTTCAGACTAATGAGTCTGAACCCACAGACTCACCGAGTCACCTTAATGCTTGGATTGCTAATAGGTGTGATCATTAATAACCAAATGCAGGAGATCGAACTAAAATTTTCGATTAATTAAATTGATTGGTTTGGTTTTGGTTCGGTATTTTTGAAAATTAAAAATATCAATTTAATTTAGATAATTAATATAAAAAAACAATAATTAACCAAACCGTTTGATATATTTATATTTATATTTATTTTAGTTTTTTTTATTTGATTTTAATTAAAGCTAAGGGTCCAATCAATTGAAGCCAAAGGAATGTGCTTAATTTCTTATTATATTTGCTGTGGAATTTATTATAGCAAGTTGTGACCAAGTTGGTCACTTAATGCTGGTTATGTGTTGATCAATACCATGGATTCAAGGACGTTTGTGCCCAAATGCAAATAAGCTTTTTTTTTTTTTTTTTTTCATGTGAGAGTCTTCGTCAGTTGTGTTAAAGTTGTTATCGGGTCGGATTCCAATCGGATCCAGCAACATCTGAATTCAATCCGACTTGTGAAATCTGAATCCAATCCTATGCCCAATGGGATAATGTGAATCTTGAATTGGATTCGAATAATATTGTACCCGGTCGAATTCAGATCATATCCGGTTTTGCTTTATAATTTTAAAAATAAAATGATAAATTAAAATGTAATTAGTTAGAACTTATATATAATAAATTTATATAAATATAAAATATTGAATTTGTTTTATATATAATTTTATATATTGTATAATATTTAAAATTTTATATTTTTATATTTATTTGTTATAAGAAAATGTATATACACTTTGTATGCACATGGCAATTTTAGATAATGATGATAATGATATATAGTCATAGTGTTCAAAATTTATACAACTTTTTCATATTTCTATATGGATAAAAATAATTATTATTTATCACATTTATATGATATTAGAGATGTGACAACATGTTTTCTACAAACTTTATGTATTATTTTCTATGCTTATATTTTTAATTTTTATTATTAATTATGACATTGTGGGTTGATTTTACTGACCTCTATGATTAAATTGCTTTCCTACCACCTAGATGGAAGAATAGTTTTGTTTTTAGAATAGTTCTAAAAAATATGTTTTTTATATTGTCAATTATTGGATATAGATCTAATTAGTAAAATTTGTTGGTGAGAAAAAAGTTCCTAAATATAGGATTTAATGACGGAGAATGGGAGTCAATACCTTAATATAATTTATGAGTGGGAATAGAATGAGGAGAAAAGTAGTAGTTCAAATTACATTTTTTTGCCCATATAATTCAAAGTGCATATATACATATATATACTTTTTCTATATCATACATTTCTTTATCATATATTTTATTTTGTATAAAAATAATTATTAGTTATCGTACATTTCTTTAATATGATGATGAACATACAATATTATTGATGTGTCCAAAATATTTTCTACAAAACTTATGTATCTTTTTTAAATTTTTATTATTTAATTATGACATTAAAAGTTGATACATTTGACCCAAAATTTGAGTTGTTGACCTAGCACATGTTGTGTTAGATATAGATCTGATTTGTAGAATTTATTAGTGAAAAAAATACTTTAAATATAAGATTTAATGAGTGAGAAGATTTGAGTCAATAATATAAATGTAGGACTTAATGAAAGAGAATTAAATAGGTAAAAAATAGTAAATGGCATAATGCATGAATCCACACTAATCATTGGAGTTGTTTTGTAGTGTGGATGAATTATGTGGATCAAACCACACCACACCTGCCCATACACATGTTCTATCTAAAATGTGGTGCAGTTCAAATGTTTCATCCACATTGTATCTTGATTCTATGTAGATCACATACAATATGTGAAATGATTTATATTGTTGATTAAGGATAAAAAATATTATATTTTATAAATAAGATAAAGAATAAAAAGTAATGCAAATTAACCATGATTATTTAAGGATAATAAGGGCCAATACACTAATATATATTTGTTAGTAAAATTAAAAATTACATAAATCCTAATTTTAAAGTTAAATTAATAAAACTTATTAACAACAAAAACAAATTTACCTAACAATAAATACAAGTTAGTATAATTCTTTTAATTATAATAAAGGGCATTAGTTTTGAAATTAAACTTGTAAGTTTAAAATTATTTTAAAACATGTATGCTCAGTGGTGATTCAAGCTGTGTTGGCCTGAGGGAGTAATCTGATGAAGGAATCAGCCTTTTCTCAACAACCAACGAAACATCATGAGTCATGAGAGCAGCATTTGTTTTTTTTTTTCATCTTCTTTTTGCATTCGAAGAATTTAAATTGGAAGGAAGTGGTAGCCATCCTAGAGGGGCAAGAGAGACACTGTACGTAATCTGAATTGCTGACCCGGTTCGTTGAACCATTGAACTGTTGATCTGAATAATGAACCATTGAGAACGAACCATCTATTTGAATCACACGATCAGACCGTATATATATAATAAAATAATCGGACTGCAATTTTAAACAAATGGAATGTCGGGTTTCAGACTTTCAGAACCATATTTGTGTCATTAATGCCAATGGGCCCATCAATCATACTAAGTTACTAAACCCGCTACTGTTACGAGTCTTCAGTATATAACACACCACAATCCATTACATACGTGTCTGCTGAGTGGCTAAACTGATTGACTAATTGCTTGTGCTTTTAATGAATATATTATTAAGTTGGTTACAAACTCTTTAATGGCAAAAGCTGAAGTTGGTTTGTTTCATACGTTAAATAACTCCACAACATTATTATGATTTAGCTGTGCCCATTAGACTGCAATCTTGACCCCAATCCATTTTATCCATTTAATTCACTCATCTTTTGGAATACATCCATATCTAGAGGTGGAAATTGGGCAGATTGGGTTGGTACGGTATGGGTTGAGTTTCTACCCAACTCATATAACCCGCCAACCCATTAATGACCCAATTAGTAGAATTAAGTGGGTTGGATTCAATCCAAATTCACCTTAACCCAGCCCTAGATAAAAATAATGAAAATTACACAAAAAAGAACCCATAAAATAAAGAAAAATAACATAAATTACAAAAAAAACAACAAAGAAATACACGAAAAAATAACATAAATTATGAAAAAACCGAGAAATTGAAGAAAAATAACATAAATTACAAAAAAAATAACAAATAAATATAGGAAAGATAACATAAATTACAAAAAATCAAAGAAATAAATGGAAAAATAACATAAATTATAAAAATAACCTAGAAAATAACATAAATTACAAAAAAAGTCCAGAAAATGAAGAGAAAACTTCACCTCCACTTCAATGTCCAAATCCCTCCAGCTTGTCTCCAGATTTAAGAGTTGAGAATAATTCCTCTTGGTTTGTTGTGTTGCTATCCAAGTCTCGAAATTACCCAAGTTCATTGATCCTATTACTCCTCCAATTCCCGGATAAAAACAGAGGTATTGTAGCTGAATTCTTGATCAATGGTGGCGGTGCACCCACTGCCATTGGCTCTCTCTCATGCAAGATATGATAAATTCATCTGTTCTTCATGTGAAATGGCTCAAAGTCACCGATCACGACCTGAAAATGGGTGGTGGAGAAGAATCCAATGGCACACGTGATGGTTGATATTGCTAGTTGGGAAAATGCGAGGGATCCATTGATAAAATTGGAGAGAGAGGGGTACAGTGTAAGAAGAGAATCAAAATATCATCAAAGGTAATGGTTATCCGTTGGGTACCCATGACCCAACCCACCCAAACCATTAAGTCACCTTTTATTGGGTTACCCAACCTGTAGTGACCAAGAATTAAATGGATACAACCCAACCCATCAATTAATGGTTGGGTTGGGTGGATTGGCAGGTTGGGTTGAAAAGTTGCCATCCCTATCGATATCCACTCAATCTATTGGCACGTCAATATGGGTCGAGTAACCCATTAGGGTCAGTGGAAAAGGGTCAAGGTGTGTTAGATCAAGGATACCCATTAGGGTCAGGATGTGTTGGGCTGTGCGGGTCAGGATAGGTTGGGTCAAAGTCAATTTAATCTATACTTGCCAAATCTCAAAAAAACAATAGTTGAAGTGATTCAAACCCATGCCTCTTAGCACGTCCACATTTCCTTTTGAGATTAAAAGTGAAATAAAATAGATTTTATTAACTTTCGTGTTCACATACAATTTTACACAAAAACAATATCATAAAGTAATTTTATGAAAAGGATTTTTACGAAATCACTTTTACAAAAGTGCTTCTATAACAAAACACTTTATAAAAGTACTTTTACACGAAAGAATTTTTGTGAAATACCTTTTATAAAAGTACTTTTACAAAGCATTTTATGAAAGTACTTTTACAAAAACACTTTTATGAAAGCACAAAAGCACTTTTGTAAAAGTACTTTTTTGAAAGCATTTTTACAAAAGTACTTTTACACGAAAGCACTTTTATGAAAGTACTTTTATGAAAGTACTTTTACAAAAGTAATATTACACGAAATCACTTTTATAAAAGTACTTTTAAGTTAAGAAAATAAGAGAAAGACTTGAGTTGAATGAGAATGGTTCGATGATTGATGAACCAGTCGAACCTTGTGTATTTATAGATTTAGAGTTAGAGTTTATGTACAACACTCAATTAGAGGATCAGATTACACTGAGCTCTATAAGATAGAGTTTATCTTAGGCTGAACTCTATTTGATAGAGTTTATCAAGTTAGTTGAATCCTATCACAATCCAGATAGA